TGTCACACCATCCCGAGTGCGTATTTTATTGAGCAGCACCTCCCCCCTCACCACGCATGTCATGCGCGGCCGCCGCCGTGCTCTGCGACCGCCCAGGCCTCGTCACCGATTTATTTGTCTCGCAAGATGAGCGCATTTCTCAATTCAACTACCTCGCTCTTCTTCGAGACCCTCTCGCGCGATGATAGCACACACCAACCTCGAATCTCAGTTGGCCGGGAGAGGCGGGTGGGGCGACAGAGATCAAAGGGGGCGGGAGGACAGTGGCGTGGACGAGCACGCGGGTGCGCAAACAAGCGGACGCGCGATCTGAAACGTCGTCCTTGGCCACGTGCCCCGCTGGCAAACCACAAGAGAGGGTGGATAGAGATAGGCGCCTCAGGCGACCGCTCGTCCTGCCCCTCCCCTCAGCAGAGCGGGCGAGAATGCTAAAGCATTCACGCCACCTCTGCAAGGGGCCCCTCCCTCCTCTCGCCCGCCTTCATAGCGCGAGAGGGTCTCGAAGAAGAGGAGGTAGTTGAATTGAGAAATGCGCTCCTCTTGCGAGACAAACAAATCGGCCACGAGGCCTGGGCGGCCGCCGCGCTCGGCGGCGGCCGCGCCTGACATGCGTGGTGAGGGGGGAGGTGCTGCTCCCTACCCCTCGCTCTCCGGGATGGTGTGACCACCGCGTGAGCCCGGAACGGCCAGGGCGCAGTCCCCCCCCACGCGATCGCGTGTCAGGCACCCCCATCAGTAACAGTCCACCTCCTTGTACTCCTCGGCGACGTCGTCGACGCTCGTGGACCCGGCCTTCCTCGACCATTCGACGGCGTGACCGAAGCAGGCGCGGACGTACAGGCGGTAGCAGTCGGACGACCACCGCCCCATCGTCATGATGTCGATCTGGGAGGCGCCCGCTTTGAAGAGCGCCGTCGCGCCACCAATGCGCAGGGTACCGCCGCAGGTCCCACACTAGTCTCTCAAAAAGAACTGCCGCGTGAGCTCGAGCGCGACGCAGCAGCCACCACGTGAGCTCGATGATCGCACTGGTTGCTGGCCTCTCGCACTCCCTGCTGGTGGGCGGCCCTCCTACGCGGACAGGCGGCGCGCGCTGCGCCAGCAGCCCGTGCATGGCCGAGTCGCCTAGGAAGCTCCGTGTCGGCCTCGTCGGTGGCGGCACTGTCGGCGGCGGCATCGTCACCATCCTCGAGGGCGCGCGCGAGCTGCAGGCGTCGCTTGGGGTGGACGTGGAGATCGCGACGATCTGCGTGCGCGACAAGGCGAAGCCACGCGACTTCCCGCTCCCTGCCGGCTGCGCTGTCGTCGACGACGTGGAGGAGATCCTCGGCGACGGCAGCATCGATCTCGTGTGCGAGGTGATGGGAGGCACGACGCTGGCCAAGGAGGTGGTGATGCGCTCGATCGCGGACGGCAAGCACGTGGTGACGGCCAACAAGGCGCTCATCGCGGCGGCGCTGCCCGAGCTTCAGGAGAAGCTCGCCGAGGCCAACGCAAAGCAGGTGCTCGGCTCCGAGGGCAAGTTCGGGTTTGAGGCGGCGGTGTGCGGCGGTGCGCGGGTCTTGCAGGTGCGCTGGCGCCGTCTGCGCAGCATGCGTCCAGCGGTCGGTCGGCGTGCGCCGTAGGCATCCCAATCATCCACGCGCTGCAGCGAGACTTTTTGGGCGACGAGGTGTCGCAGCTGTCTGGCGTCGTCAACGGCCGCACACTTCCGTCCGTCTCTGGGCAGCCCTCTGGGCAGCCGCCTCGGGGCCTTTTCGTAGGCATCATCAACGGCTGCACCAACTTCATCCTCTCCAACATGGCGCAGGGAGGCCTCTCCTACTCGGACGCGCTCAAGGAGGCGTCGGCGCTCGGATACGCAGAGGCCGCGCCGCGCCGCCGCCGCCTCGCCACACGCCACCCCCCTCGCCACACCTCCCCTCCCCACGCCGCCTCGCGTCGCTCGCTCGCAACACTTCGCCACGCCCA